CGAGTCTACCTAAGGGAGGCCCACGCCGAATTCAGACATGAAGAAAAGCATCCGTCCATAGATAGAGACAGTACTCAATTCATAGGTACAGTACTCAATTCAAAGAGACAGATCTCAATTCAGGCCGAGTTGGGACTCATGAGAGGAGGCTCGGACCGTGGTTGGACATAAACCGAAACGTCGCACGGAATACCCAAATTTGGGCCGAGTCAACCTCGAGGATGCCCACGACCAAACTCAGATGCAGATGTTCCACAGGCGCCCTACGACGATCTTACATCGGAAGTAGGTCGCCTAATCTTCTCGGCTTATAAACGGAGGAGCAAGCCACACCACTCTGTGATGGTAAAGATGAATTACAACCTCCCCATTTTATACCATGTCCCCCCCCCCCACTGCTCCCCTCTCTCTTCCAGAATCCCTTCCCACCCCTCCCCACCCACCCTCTCCGCAACACACGCAAAAACAATCCTGGGACAAGAGGCGAGAGCCTTAAGCGCGAAGTCTATTTGCGTGCAAAGTCCGTGGCAGCGTTGTGTCCGAGGTATCGCTTCACGTCGGAAAAGTGTCCCCCAGAGCAATGAGGCATCGGGCTCCCTTAATGCGTCTGTCATAACAACACCCCTCTGACGCTGTCGTTCCAGTGCGACCCATCGCTACCCTCCCCAGACAAAAACAAAGATCCCCCGTGTAGCCTCAACAGGCTGATGGGGAAGGGACAAGAGCAAATAAAAAAACGCGCTCTTAGCGAACACCCGCGAAGACCCCAACGGTGCACGAGGGGGTCACGTGGCCAACGCTACGCCCTGACCGCCTTTGTTTCCCCCAGGGGCGATGTTTACACACTGCACTGGGGACTCATTTGAGGCTGAGCTGACCTAGGGGAGGCCCAGGACTTGTTCAGATTATTCGTCACTGGTGTTGTTGGCCGTGAGCGGGAATCGAACTCGGCTCGCCGATGAGGTTCGCATCGCTACACCGTCACCTGTCCCCCAGCAAAGAGTTTCATTTGAGCCTCAAACTATCACGGCTGGCTCGTGTGTCTATGCATTTGCTTCGTAAGTTGTTCGCGCAACGCAATAGAAGCCGTAGGGGGATGTGGTTGGGGGGATTATATTATATTTAGGGAGCGGCCCTCTCCAAGATCGTCTTGGGGATGATAAACAAGCCGCATGTTTGTTGATTTTATTTCATGAGCACCACCACCACTACCACCACCTCCTCCTGCTGCCTTCGCTGACGGAGGTCCAGAAGGTTCGCGACCAACGGCCGCCCCTGCAAATGGATCCTTCTCGAAACGAATTGTGGCGGTCTTAACTCGAGGCAAACGCGCTCAACAAAATGGGTTGATGGGGGACTGAAAATAAATGCGTTGTCGCACTGCAATTGTGCGCGGAGATACGGAAGTTGATGTTCTTCATTTGTTACCCAGAATACAGGGCTTTTAATCGTCTGCAGCGCAGAGAGCGAGAGCACGTACCAAGAATCAGGAAAACGGGCAGATATTTGTTTAGCGAGGTCGATGGAAGACTAAATATACACATAGTAAACGTTTTTGGGTTAGATCGCGTTATTTATAAATGTGTCGTAACCCTCCACCACCCGACACGGCCAATCAGTAAAAAAGTGTCACATTCTGGCAAATTGCCCGATGATGCTGGATGTAATTACCAGCGAAACGTCGTGGTTTCACTCTTCAACACAGCGGTGGGCTAAAGTAGTGAACTATTTGTCTTTTGTCAACGTGACACTTTTTTACTGATTGGCCGTGTCGGGTGATGGAGGGTTACGACACATTTATAAAGCAACGCGATCTCACCCAAAAACGTTTATTATGAACAATATTTGGTCGCGAAAGCCTACTACGTGTTAAACTAAATATACACAGATTTTTAGGGACACATCACAGCGACTGATTTACACATTTTATTTCTCTCGTTCCCATCCATCAAAACCTCCGCTCGCGCTCCCGTTTTGCATAGTTCATGCACTGTCTCTGTTTATACAATAACTTCATTGATACGTTTATCACAGTGTGTGTGTACATATAGATATTGTCAAGTGTAGCAATCTATGGTTGTACTCTACTGTCGAAACATCTATGGTCCCCAATGTGCCCCTCCATCCCTCCCCTTTTCAACCCCGCTCCACGCCAGGGAACGCCTCTCTCCGGGCTTCCAGATACAACGCGGGTGAAGCTTCGTTTATTCGGAGAACCAACAATGACAAACAATAAATCTGACTTTTTAAATTTAACGTCAAACCTCGTCATTATTGCTCTGCCGTGACGTCACTCCCGTGGTGACGTCACGGCGGCGCGATATTGACACCCCTAACAGCAACTTTTAAAGTATTTTTCCCCTCCCTCTCTCTCTCTTTCCCTTCTAGTTACCGAAACGTTGTGTCGGACAGACCGTGAGCAGATAACCTCGGCATTGTCTCTGTAGGATATAAATGAGAAACTCGCGACTCTCACAGCTGTTCCGCGCGCCCCGAGAGAGCCGCAATGGAGTTTGACACGCAGGCTTCTCACCACCGATGTTATTTCATCGCAGAGGTTTCATCCGTGATAGAAGTCACAGTGGAGCCAAACCAGCCGTATTAACAACAGCCCGGCACGAATCAGCGGTGGAAATTCCACATTCCTATGGCGGGAACGAATTTACCGGCAGCCGTTGGGGAATTGGTGGGTTTTATTCTAGACGCACTTAAGCGGTTGTGCTTTCGCTACGTTGTCTTCCACCTGAAGAAGGACGCTTGTGTTGCGCCCGAAACGTCGTGATTTAATTGAGTTGTTTTCATTTATTTAGTTTGATTTATTACCTACGCAATCGGTGGGTTTGTTTCTTTTTTTAACAACGTTACAAGTGCTCGTTTTGGCCGTGCTATGAATTGTATATTGCTTTAAAAGCATCGAGAGCGAATTGATGGTGATATTTACGCATTCACAACGGACCTAATCAATCATTAACCACTGTTGCACGCAGTACCAACGAGTAATTATAACTTGACGGCCCTTTGGCAACCCACTGCTGGATGAACCCCCTGTACCTTCCTTCTCGGCTATCAAGGGGGTTGTTTGACCACTCTGGATGTGGCTAAGAGTAGTCGGGAGTTGAACCCAGGCCAGGTCGACAGCGGAGTTTATTCGGCGAACCAACGACGCCACCATCCGCTGAGCTGCGTGTGTACACCAATTATTTTAGAGACGTATCGGCTCTTTTTTTGTCTATCCGCTACTACACATTGTCCGAGAAGTAATTGCTTAATTTATGATTGCGAATCCCAATTCAACGTTTTCACTTAAACAGTAGCAATGCGTGAGGGTGTTAAACCTACTCTTTGGTTCTTTCGGTAAAGAAAATAATACATTAAATACTAGCATACGACGTTTCGATTGCAACACAAGCAATCATCATCAGGTATAAATGAAATAGAAACACAAATCAAGTATACTTAGAAATGTAATGTAATACAACAGAGAGTCGGATAACATAACAGTCAACACCCTACCTGGTTGATTACGTTCTTCCTGAGAATGCTACATTTGGGAGAGAGATTAAACACAGAACCAGAGACATATAGACAGACAAAAAGTAGAGACAGATATCACAGATATACATAGAGATAGAACAAACATGGGCACACAGAGAAACAACGCCTCTGTGTCGAGGCCTTAAATAGAGTTAAACCTATCTATATATATAAATGAACGCAAAGATCCCCCGTGTAGCCTTGCCAAACTGTTGGGGCAAGTGCTGTTCGCGAGCACCTATGAATGCCGACAGGGCGTACGACGGGGTGGGATGGCCAAGACCACGCCCCGTCCGTCTTTGTCTCCCCAGTGCTGATGTTTACACACCGCGCCAGGTGCTCGTTTAGGGCTGAGTCGACCGAGGGGAGGCCCAGGACCGGTTCAAATATCCGCTGCCACTGTTATTTTGTCGTGAGTGGGAATCGCCGAGTTCGTAGCGCGCTAAACCACACAGCTACCGCTCCCCACTCCTATTTATATACGACTCGACACTCAGGCAGATTATTAAAATCGGAGATCATGTTTTCTTAACTTTAAATTAATTGCCGTATCATATGTACACACGTTAATAGACGAGTCGCCTCTTTAAGAAAGCGAATTAGACTAATCCCAATGACACGGCTCCTTAGATGAAGTCATTTAACACATATGTGTGATTATCTAATAATAGCCCACATTGTGCTCACTCGTTGTCTAAATCTGCCAACACTTTCCTGCCCTCGTCACTTAAAAAAAAACATCTTCACGCAGCAAAATAACGTTTCAGGCAACGTCCCTTCAACAGAGCATCAAAGATTACAATTGTCTAAATCTGCCAACACTTTCCTGCCCTCGTCACTTAAAAAAAAAACATCTTCACGCAGCAAAATAACGTTTCAGGCAACGTCCCTTCAACAGAACATTACAGATTACAATGACATCTTTCGGTACACTGCTGGGGCGAAACAGAAACGCTGAGGATCGTTCTGCAATCCCCAGACGTACAGACTTTTGGGGCAAGTGCTGTTAGCGAACACCTATGAAGGCTGGTACGGTACATGGTGGGGGGGGGGTGTGATCAGCTCCACAGCCGGCCGCCTTTGTCTCTCCACTACTGATGTTTTACACACCGCACCGGGTTATTCATTTGAGGCCGAGTCAACTCAGGGGAAGGCCCAGATACCCGTTCAAATATTCTTCACCACCGTTATCGATCGTCAGCGGGAATCGAACTCGGGTGGCCTAGTTCGTAACGCAGCGCGACAACCACTGCGCCACCGCTCCCCACATGTACACATACAAAGATTACCCCCGTGTCGCCTGAACAGACTTTTGGGGCAAGTACTATAAGCGAGTATCACGCATGTACACACACGCGCACATACACACACGCACATACCACGTGTAAGTTCATCTCGCGTCCCCGGCAGAGAGCGGCCACGCCGCATCACTTACCCCCAAGCGCATCTCTCACAAAAAAGGATATCGTGGCCGCGGAGTAAGGCGACATGTCCGGCGTGTCGGGAAGATCTCCGCTCTCAGCCTTCACCATGGACAGCGACAGACCGCGAGTCGGCGGCGAACACGAGCGGGAGCCGAACGCTTGAGCAGGCACGTGCAGGTGATGATGATGCTGCTGCTGCTGGTGGTGGTGGTGTTGCTGGTGGTGGTGGTGCTGCTGCTGCTGGTGATGGTGGTGGTGCGGGTTGTTGCTGTTATTGTTGTGGTGGTGGTGGTGATGGTGGTGGAGAGGGCCCAGCGACGACACCTTGCTACGTGGCCGCACCGACTGATCGCGTGCCACCGCCGCTGCGGCCGCCTCTAAGAGCACCACCTGCTCGGCAGACGACACCCGCTGGTCGCCTCGCGTGGCCATGCCGACGCCGGCCGCGGCGGCAGCGGCCAGGCTGCTGTGCAAGAAGTACGCCATCTGTGGGATGTGTGGCAAGGCGTGCGGCGACAGGGCCGGGTGGTGGCCGGGCAGACCGAGGTGCGGTCCCAAGTGCGGTGGCGGCGGCATGCCGAGCGCAAGTCCGTGAGTCGGGAACGCTATCTGGTTGGCGGAGATCGCCGCAGCCTGATGCTGCTGCTGCTGATGATGTTGTTGCTGCTGCTGTTGGTGGTGGTGCTGTTGTTGTTGCTGGTGCTGCTGCTGAAGGTGGTGGTGGTGCTGCTGTTGCTGCTGCTGCTGCTGAAGGTGGTGGTGGTGGCTGTGGAGGTTGTGGAGGTGGTGTTCGGCAGCGGTGGCAGCAGCAGCAGCAGCGGCAGGGGGTGAGGTCTTGCGCACGACGAGAGGCAACGCCTCGGTTTGGTCCGTGGAGGTGAGCGGTGCTCGCGTTCTGCTGCTGCTGCTGCCCATGAGTGCCTCGCTGAAACCACCGCCGCCGTACGGCTGAGTCAGGCCGCGCTGCAGCGCGCTTCTGCTCGCCTCTCCGCCGTTCGACGACAACGACGACGAAGACGAGGAGGAGGAGGATGAAGATGAGGATGAAAACGAGGTCGTTAAAGCGGACGTGGCGGTAGCGCTGGTGTTGTTGACGGCGGCGGTGCCAGCGGTGGTGGCGGTGCTGTTGGTGGTGGTCGTGTTGATAGCCGTGATGGTTGGGTGGCTATTGCTGCCGCTCGCGATGTTGGAGGTGATGGCTGTGGTGGTGGTGGCGGTGGTGGCGGTGATGCTGCTGGTACCGGACAACGCGGAAAGGCGCAGCGGGTGGTGATGTCCCACCGCTCGCGCCGTCAAGGCAGCGAGCGCTGTCGAGGAGGAGGTCGATGCGGCCACGACGACGTTCATTGACGGGGAAGAACTCGCCCCGCCGGTCGGGACCCCGGGACGCGGCGAGAAGGTCTTCACCACGACGTCCACCACGTGCGCGACTGCCCTGGAGAGTTCATGTTTCAGGGCGTGAGCCAGCTCCTCTCCGCGCTCCTTGTCCGCATGGACCCGTGCTGGCTGTTGCTGTTGCTGCTGCTGTTGCTGCTGTTGCTGCTGCTGCTGCTGCTGCTGTTGCTCAATGGGCTGACCGTGCTGCTCGTCCACCTGCATCTCCTGAAGGTCCTTGTCGGCGTCGTTCACGCTGGACCGACGGCCGAAGGGCGCCGAGATGTCGTCGTCGTCGTGGTCGTGGTCGTCGTAGCGTGCGTCGAGGTCTTCGTCCATATCTTCTGGCTGGAGGAGCTGCTGCTGATGATGAAGATGAGGATGAGGGACGTCCTGCAGTCGCTGCCGACGGTAGCTCGCGGCTGTCTCCGAGTCATCCATCATCTCGTTGTCTGACGATTCGGCCACGGAGCGCGCAGCGACCCCGGTGCTTCCCGCGCGTTCAGAGCAGCTGTCCTCTGCAACGTCGTCATCACCCTCTCCTCCTCCACAACCACCACCACCAGCTCCTCCACCACCACCACTACATCCTTGTCCTTCCTCCTCCATCTCCTCGCCGTCTTTGTCTCTCTCCGCACCTCCCACGCCCTTGTCCGCCTCGTCGGCCGCCTCATCATCCCCCGACTCTTCGCTGTCGTCGTAGGCGAACGAGAACTGCTGTCGAAGGCGTCGCAGCTGCCTCTGCATCTCCTCCAGCTGCCGCTTGAGCCGCCGTCGCTCCTCCCGTTTCACCTGCAGCCTCGCGGGCAACTGCGAGAGCGCGGAGTCGTCCATCTCCTCCTTCTCGTGCTCATCCTCGTGCTCATCCTCGTCTCCCTGCTGCAACTTTTGCAGATGATGATGAAGCTGCTGCTGCTGATGATGATGACGAGGATCTTCTTGCTCCCCAACGACTCCCGGGTTACCCGCGGGCTGCCCCTCTGCCTCCCCGCCCGCCTGTTGCAGGGGCAGCCGCTGCTTGCGTTTGTTCCCTCGGGGGCTCGTGGGTCGGTCACCCCTCTCGGGATCCCCGCTGCGCGCGTTCATGCTGCGGATGATGTTCTCCACGCGGGCCCGCTTGGCCTGGAGGTCGTGCCCGTGGTGGCCGCCGCCGCCGCCTCCGCTGCCCGACCCCACCGAGTTTGCCGACTGCGCGGAGCAGCCGGGCGGAGGGGCTCTCTCGCGCGGGCACGAGGAGTCGCCAGACGAGTCGCTGCGATTGCCGTCCGAGTTGGACTCGGTCACGCTGGGCGGTCTGAAGCCACCGACGCCGCCACCAACTCCGCTCGCTCCCGCGACGCTTGCGCTCGAGGGTCTGGCGCTGAAGCCGTTGTGCGGCACGCCGTTGTGCAGCAGCAGCTGTGAGTAAAGCGAACCCTGGCCGTACGACGGCGCCTGAGGTGGCTCTTCGAACATGCCGCTCGACGCAGCCGCCGCTGCTGCCGCCGCCGCTCCTTTCTTGAGCAGATTCCGCAGCACCGTGGTGCCCTCTCCGCCACCGCCGCCGGGCAGCACGAAGCGGTCGCTATGCTCCTCGTCTCCCTGCGGGCTCCGCGTGCTCATGCCCGCGGGCAAGAGCCGCGTCGCTCCGAGGAGAGCCGAGTCCAGGGAGCCGAGCCGGCTCACTTCCACCGCTGTTCTCCTGCTGCTGCTGCTCCTCCTGCTGCTACTGCTGCTGCCGCTGCCCTCCGGTCTGTCTACCAGATGCTGTCGCTGCTGCCGCCGCTGCTGCTGCTGTTGTTGTGGTTGTGGTTGTCTCGGTCGCGTCCTCCTGACGCCGATGTCAACCCGGCGCCGTTTGGGCTGAGGAGCGCTCACCAGACAGGGGCTGTACGCATGGTAGCGCATCACTCCTCTGAGCGCATTCGCATCCTGCCTCCCGGAACGCCGGCTTTTAACGCGCCCGCAGCGCACTCCACGTGGAACTTTGCGATACCTGGAAAACGAAAAAAACGCGAGCACACATATACATACACAAGTCTATAAACCTACATACACACACACACACGTGTGCACACACACACACACACACGCGCGCACGCACGCGCGCGCGCGCACTCACGCGCACGCGCGGCGCACAGCAACAAAGAGGAAAGAAATAGTCTGAAATTTCTTTCCTTTTCGGCCAAGTTATTTTTCGACCTCTCTCCGTTCCAGGAAACTGATCAGAATCGTGGGGAGTAGCCTTTCTGCAGCAAGCGTTCGGCGGCCCGTGTGTGCGCGTGTAATATATATAAAGTGAGCGGAAGGGAAACATTTAGTGTGCGGCCTTTGGCATCATTCACAGAGTGAGTGCGGTCGGTTAGTCGGTCCTTACGGGGGGGGGCGCAATGCGGGAAGGGCCCCCTTAATGTTTCATTGAAGCCTTTCAATAGATGCACGTCAAACAAACGCGATGTTACTCATGGCTTTACAAAAACTATTTTTTTAACTAAATTTCGCTGCGCGCATACACACACACACAACACGCCCTGGATTGAGATGCGAGGCCGTTCCAAGAAACGGCACCGCCAACTCCCCCTTACGACGACGACGACGATGATGTCAAGTTACCCGATGACGATTTGGTACGCGCTTGTGATGTCATTTCTTTACAACCTGGAATTGCTTTTCTACTTAACGAGCAACGTGATTGATTCAAGAATGGCTCCCGTAATGGAACGGTATTTAAATTGTCCGTGCGTTCATTACTATTGTTCATTTATCTCACGAAGTATATTTACAGGTTGGTTTATATTTCGTATGCAGGTCACTTGGCACACACACACACACCACACACGTGTAGTATTATATTGATGTCAACTTGCATTATTCACGAGTAACACAAAACTGCCAGTAATACTTTGCTGCGTCTTGCCTTTACTTTGATGTTCTTACCCTCGCGCCTACGATGATCACGTTTGGCTACGTACGGCGCGAAAGAAGTTCAATCATACACACGCGCACACACACACACGCACACAGGCATGTCTCTATGTTCTCACGTCCAGCCTTGTCTGGCTTGCCACACGCTGATCGCAAAACGCGCGCATCCCTCGTGTTGCAAGTCTCTAGTGTGCGCGCAGTGATGTCGATTGTGTACACGTGTGTTGTTTTAAGTCATCACCCAGCACTAATACCGAGAACGTCACACCTCACGGTAGTTCCTATTCATAGCACAGACAGCCACTTCTCTAGCACTCCTCGGCTCGACTGCCATGTGCATGTCGTGGAGATTAACCACCTGCTCGATTGACGGTGTTATGCATCGTTACGTCTTGCTTGGCGAACCTTTAGTTATTTATACAATTCAGGCAATAAGGCTTGGTTATTAATTACACACACGTCGCTCTGTGGTGCGTTTAAAAAAATAATCTCTGTAGTAATATAGAGGGTATTTATTTACGTATTTAAAAGCGGCTTAGTTTAGCTCGTATAATGTACACTATAACGACGTGTGTAGTGGTAGATAAAGCGTAACAAAAACATCGGAGTAGTTTTTCACTTACCAATTATGTATATATCCATTTGGTTCACAATGTGGATATCTTACCCAGCTGTTGAACGATATCAACATTAACATATCCATCTACGTATTAGCACATCGACTGTCACATTTCAACGCTACATACTGAGCGAGATAAACCCAACACCATCCGTCAATGACACTGTCGTCTTACAACAACACAATGACCATATAATAGTCGACGTTTCGCTCAATGGCCCTTCGACGTAGCCCAAAAGCTCGAGAACGTGAATTCAGTGCCGGTGCCGTGCGCCGTGATGGATAGTTGACGTCGCTGGGCCGTGAGAGATGGCGACCGCGTGTGGAAGTCGTCATTCAGCAGGAGGTTGTTGATCATGGCTCATGGTGATGGGGATGTAACATCGTTCAGGCTCGAAAACCCGTGGCGGTCGCCTTTCGCACTCGAGTGCCCTGTGACCGCGTGCTTCAACACAAACTCCAGCGAGCCCAATACGATTCCTCGCTCACGGCCACCAACACCAATGGCGATTGTTTGAACCGGCCCTGGACCTCCCTTAGGTCTACTCGGCCTCAAGTGAGTGCCTAGTGCGATGTGTAAACATTACCACTAGGGAGACAAAGGTGGCCGGGCATGGGGCTGTCCCCCCCCCCCCCTCGTGTCCCGTGCCGGCCTTCATAGGTGAACTTGCCCCAACAGTCTGTTAAGGCTATACGGGTGATCTTTGTATTTGTAAAATGACTGAAAATATCTGAGTTTAATTGATCGTGCGGGAAAGGTCTGAGAAACCGTATTCACCCAGCAGTGGATCGATCATTGCTGCTGCTGCTGATGATTACACGGAGTCTAATTTAATTCCTTAAGACTATAACTCACGGCTGATTCATTCGCGACTCGCGTACTCTGTGACCTCTCCCCGTTCACATATAATCTCCGCGCGTGCGTGTACTTTGATTGAAATGACCAAGTTTAATAGATCCCGGGGAAAGTTAATGAATCACTGCTTTTTTTCCCTCTCTCTCTCTGTAATAATCGCTTCTAGCCCAGGACAGGCAAAAACAAATCTGTGTTGCGGCCAAAAGTAATGTTGGTGAGCTCTGTTGTGTCTGTATCGAGCCGTACACGTCACAAACAAAAGATCCCCCGTATAGCCTTAACAGACTGTTGGGACAAGTGCTGTTAGCGAGCACCTCTTAAGGCCGGAACGGCACACGCAGCAACACCACGCCCGGCTTTGCCTTCGCCTCCCTCCCCAGTGCTGATGTTTAACACACCGCACCAAGTACACTTTTTAGGCCGAGTCTACCTAAGGGAGGCCCAGAAACTGTTCAAATTATTCGCCGCAGACAGTTGTTGGTCGTGAGCGTGAATCGAAACTCGGGTCGCCGGGTTCGTAACTCAGTGCGCACAACCACTGCGCCACCGCTCCCCCGCTGCGCGTTAAACACACAGGCAAGACACGCGCGGTGTCGAATAACACAAATTTCATCAATGAACCTCGCGACACCCGTGCAAGCAACAACAACGAAAACAAGAGCAATCCGTGAAGATGTCAGTTCAGACGCGGAGCCTTACTCAACGTTTCACGACTCGTGCTATTTCGCTGTGCTGCCCGGACATACACCACGTTGCCCTCCCGTCCACGAGATTTCACGGAGGTGCGGCGAAGTTGACGGGCAACACAATCCGGGCAGTGGTAACCTTTTGTCAAATTGCCCCCCTCCCCGCCCCCCCGTCCGCACCCATCCGTGATTTGGTGACATTGCGGTTCGGATCTTTTTTCACGATGAAGGTGTTTTGGGTTAGATCGCGTAAGTACAAATGTTGTGTCGTAACCCTCCACCACCCGGCATAGCCGATTAGTAAGAGATTTGTCGCGTTAACAAAACGCCAATTAGTTACTAGTGTAGTGTATAGTGTAGTGTATAGTGTAGTGTATAGTAGTGTAGTGTATAACGTAGTGTATAGTGTAGTGTATAGTGTAGTGTACTACTTCAGCCCCACCGGTGTGTTGCAGAGTAAATCCACAACATTTACAATTTGAGTAGCCGTGACGTTCCGCTGGTAATCACTTCCACCAGTGCCGTGGGGCGCTTTGCCGGAATATTCAAATTCTGGCAAATTCCGCCAAATCGTCCGATCATCTTTTTTGTTTTAAACGCGGAGCAATTGGGGTAGAATGCGCGCAGTTACCACCACCACCACCACCACCCCCGTGGGGGTTGTCGCGGCTGCGTTGGCTGTCCGAGCTCCGATGTCCGATTGCGGTTTCGATCTTTGCACCGTGGCGGTTATTCGGCATGATGTCCGACGTTTCGTACCGGGGTGCAACGCACGACGCCGACGGGATACTCTTCGCTCAGTCGCTCCAACACCTCGACTCGCGGAACACTTTCTCGTGAGATAACTACCGGGCAGCAGTAGTGAAAGAGCTTTACAGCTCATCGGATTCCTCCAGTATAAATACATGTTATCATTCTGATGACAACAAACAACAATCATAACAAATGGAAGAAAGCGGGATTTAAAACACACATACATACGCATGCAAAGATCCCCTCTTTAGCCTGAGCAGACTGTTAGGGCAAGTGCTGTTGGCCAGCACATAGTAAGGCCGTTACTGCACACGACGTGGTGGGTGGCCAGCACCACGCCAGACCGCCTTTGTCTCCCCAGTGACGATGTATTTTTTACACACCCCACCAAGTACCCATTTGAGGCTGAGTCGACCTAGGGGAAGCCCAGGACCGCTTCAGACAACCGTCACCGATGTTGGCCGTGAGCGTGAATATTAGCGGAGCGCGCTAACCGCTACACCACCGCTCCCCACCTTAATGAAACGCACACATACATACACACATACACACACACACATACACACACATACATACACACACATACACACACATACATACACACACATACACACACATACACACATCCCCCGTATAGCCTTAACAGAGTGTAGGGGCAAGTGCTGTTAGCGAGCACCTATGAAGGCCGGAACGGTACACGAGGGGGTGGGTGGCTAGCACCACACCCGACCGCCTTTGTCTCCCTAGTGGCAATGTTTACACACCGCACTCATTTGAGGCTGAGCCGACCTAGGGGAGACCCGGGACCGGTTCAGATAATCGTCCCTGGTGTTGGCCGTGAGCGGGAATCGAACCCGGGTCGCCGGGTCCATAGCGCAGCGCGCTAACCGCTACACCACCGCTCCCCACAAACATACACACACACATACATATACACACTCACACGCACAAACCATGAGCCCGGTAATAGAAGCAGCTATACCCCCCGTGCGAGAGAAAGAGAGAGAGTGGGGGGGGGGAGGCGGCATCGTACGAGGAAGGCTATTTCTAACGTTCGGGAACAGGCAGTATTGTTCTATTTTTAATAGCTTCCAACTGCCTTCAACAGATGCACAGATGTGCGCTGTAAAGCATCAATCTCCGCGCGGCGAACAACCCCGGACTTGATAACAACACGAACTGCTTAGACTTGGCCTGCCTGCGCTGAACTCCCCTTGCACTCCCTGCCTGCGACGCAGCGAGAAAGAGCCTGGCACGACGCGCATTATATCCTTCCCTGAGTGTCGGTGGTCCAGCGTAGACAAAACTTTAAAGTTTCGAGGCTGCCATTAGCATCGTGGTGCACACACGCGCACGCACGCGGCACCTCAGATTAGCGCGGTTGGCTACGTACGGTGCGAAAGACGTCCAGCATTACATGTACGCACACGATTGAGCGAAAAGCCACCGCACATTTCGCCAAGAGCACTCACTCAGTGTCTCGCTGGAGGATTCCAATTCCATTCGTAACTTGGTCACCTTTACAGCGGTAATCGTGATGACGTCTTCTTCCCTCCCTTAACAGACGCAGACTGCATAGACGGAAGCTAACGCACGAAACGCTTTCAACGTTGGCTGGAAAGCGTAGCCAAATGTGCAATGGACTGACGTTTCGAGCAATAGCCCTTCTTCAGAGCAAAGAGCGAGGTGGATAGAGAGAGAGCGCGGTTGTTTGACCGCGGTATAGACTGCTATTTACACTACTGGATAGACCCTGAGCAAACTGGTGCATCGTGAAGAAAGTTGACGAATGGAACGTGTTTGGAGTTGACACCCCCGGTAAGTGTTCTATCATTAGGTCAGATACCGACTCGAAAACAACCGCTCCAAGTCAAAAATACACGCGCGCACAGAATAAATAAAACACTCACGCAACATTTGCCCTACAACTTTCCGGCGTGGCGACACCGCCGAGATAAAATGTTCACTCCGTTTCGGCTCGGCGCGTCTTGCAGGAACGAGCGAGAGATGCATTGAGCGCGGGTGACACGGGCTCGTTTCGCCCTCTGAATTGCCTCATCAGCTCAGCCCATGCACAAGCCCAGCTACGCGCAGGCACTGCTAGGGCAAGCCACGCGTGGTGGTGGCGGCGGTGGTGGTGGTTGGTGGTGGTGGCCGTGTGGGCGAGAAAACCCACAGATAAGCTTTGTGCGGGGTCTCCCTTCTCGCAACGTTGCAAGGGGTGGCGATGCAGCGACCGTACTCGGCTTTGGCGGCGAAGGGCAATTTCGCTAACAGCTCATCTCTCTCCCTCTAGTATTACCAAAACAATACCCGCCGCTAATGTTTCTTGTCGTTGCTTTTTTTATTTTTTAGCGATGCTTCAGCGTCGACGCGTTTCTTTCGCAGTTAATCCGGCGACTGATAAGTAAGCGCATTACTTAAATATCATGAAATATAAATATCGCGTTCAACGTGACCGACACGGTACTTTGTTGAAGACGGTAGCGCTCGGCACACGCTCATTCGCTTCTTTCTGTGCGTACGTTGAACTTCTTTCAGCACGGCACGCAGTCAACGGCGACAATGGGAGGTGAGATTCTTACTGATGGCAGCAGCGATGTGACTCAGGAGCTAAGCGCCCAGTGCTGGTCGCGACGAGAGGTTCTAGCGGTCGCTTCGTGGTAGTTTTGCCATTCGTCCTCCGTTCAAGGAGCGCAGACCGCGCGCATACAACGAACGGACTCGACAGAAATCAAAAAGACAGCGAGGGTTTGACGCTCACTCGATGCGCCGATTGCATAACACGCACCTTGGCAGAAGCGGGGAGATGGCAGCGACGACGAGACAAGACGCAACGTCGATTGACTATTCTACCTTTCGTGCCGTTACGCGAATAGGCTCGATAGCGCGTGGATAGAATTGACAGCACTCACACGCGCGTACGGCTCCCACTGCGCTGATAATTTCAGCTATGATCACACAGTTGTAGAAAATGCGATAAATGTGCTGCTGCTGCTACCACAGCTGACTGCTGCTGCTGCTGCGTTGGTCAAACAGAGGCACGGCAGTGGATAACGTGTGCTGTGTTGTGTGTGTGTGTGAAGGTGTCTTAGAGGTGGTGGTGGTGGTCACCGTGAACGCACTTACTTTGCGGCTGCACTGGCGAGCGGTCGCTTGTTTTCGGTAGGCGGGCCGATATCAAAGACAGAGGAGGAGCGCTTCGTCAAGATCATTTTAAAGACGCGGAAGTCGAACGAAAATCGGCGGCGTCACTTGCTGGTGGTGTAACAGCCACACCCCCGAGCGTAAAACGGCGCGCGCTCGCTCGCGTGTGTGTCTGTGCGCGTGTGTCTGTGCGTGTCTGTGCGCGTGTGTGTCTGTGCGTGTGTGTGTTGCAAAGTCGTAGACCAATGAGCGTGCTGGACAGCGACACACACGCGCACGCGCACGTACGCGCGCGCGCCCGCAACACACGCGCGTTCACTCGCTCACGCACGGAACTGGCGTGTGTGTATGTACGTGCGTGTGTGTGCGCGTGTGTGTTTCAAGCCGGTGACCAATGAGCGTGCCTGACAGCGACACACACGCGCGCGTGCGCATGCACAACAGTCGTGTGTGTGTGCGCGCGCGTCAGTGTCTGTGCGTTTCAAGTCGGCGACCAATGAGCGTGCCTGACAGCCACACACACGCGCGCGCATGCATATACACGCACGCACACACGCACATCCCTCGTGTGTGTATGTGTGTGCGTGCGTGCGTGCGTTTCAAGCCGGGTGACCAATGAACGCGCTTGGACATCGACACAGACGCGCACATTTATTCTCGTACCTACATACAAACACATCACTCGTGTGTGTGTGTGGCGCGCGCGTGTGTGTCTGCGATGACCAATGGCCGTACTAGACAGCGACACACACACACACGGATGCACAAAGACAAAGATCCTCCAGATAGTCTTCATTTGTCTCCGCCAGTGGCGATGTTTACACACCGCACCAGGTACTCATTTGAGGTTGAGTCGACCTAGAGGGAGGAGAGGGTCCAGGACCGGTTCAGATAATCGTCACTGGGAGCGGCAACCGAACTCGGGTCGCCGAGTTTCTAAGCGCAGCGCACCCTGACCACTACACTACCGCTCCTCACAAAGACTAAACACAAAGACAAATACCCCCCGTGTAGCCTTAACAGACTGTAGGGGCAAGTGCTGTTAGCGAGCACCATAAAGGCGGAACGGCGCACAAGGGGGGTGGGTGGCCAGCACCACGCCCGACCGCCTTTGTCTCCCCGGTGGCGATGTTTACACACCGCAACAGGTACTCATTTGAGGCTGAGTCGACTTAGGGGAGACCCAGGACCGATTCAGATATATAATCGTCACTGGTGTTGGCCGTGAGCGATAATCGAACCCGGGTCGCCGGGTTCATAGCGCAGCGTAACGCTAACCGCTACACCACCGCTCCCCAGAGACACACACACACTCGCTCATAACCACCACTCTACTACGTTTCTTTCTGGGTGCCACATCACCTCGCTGTGCTGCCGGACGTAGTCGCTGATGTCTCCATTAAGCCGGCCCGGGTAAATCCACAAAGTCACGCGTTTTAGCCGCTTGTCAAGGGAACGGCTGGAGGATGGCGAGTGGATAGAGAGACGGCGCGGCACTTATCGGGCAGTTTCGCGGAGTTTGTAACTTTGTTTCTGGGAGGGTTGAGTGGTGGCGCAGTAAGTTAGCGCGATGGACTAGAAAACCGGCAACCTTAGTTCCATTGCCGGCCACCGATGATCTGGTTTCCCTAGAGCTGCCTGCTCCCGCTGGTCCACTACCCATTGAATGATAAACCCAGCGCGGTACGTTAACTTCAAGAAACGAGGAGACAAAGGCGGTCGGGCGTGGTACTCGCCACACCGCCGTCACGATCTTAATAGGTTCTCGCTGACAACACTTTGCTGCAACATCGTGGGTGTATAACGCTCCGGAAGGGTTGTTGGGGACGAGGTTGGTATTGTGTAGCTTAGTGCGAAGTGGCGAAGTAGAGTTGTCGGTACAACACCCCCACCTCTCTGCTCCTCACCCTTTAAAAGACTTCACATACCCGGGCACTCATTGATGGTCAGTCCACTGCTGGATAAAGGCATTCCCCGTGCCGCCGCTGCGACCTCTCGCAATCTTACGATGTAAAAAAATATAATGATGATAATACATCACAATACAATAACAATACATCACAATACAACAACAATACATCACAATACAATAACAATACATCACAAAACAACAACTATACATCACAATACAAGGCATGATAACGACGCCCCCACTACGGACTGCGTGCGCGCGCCACAGCGCGTGTCCGCGTGCTGTCGCCCTCTAGTAGAGTGTATGCCGGCATCATTCAGCGCCAGCAGCAGCGGCACACAGCAGCAGCAGACAGCCTTGCAGCCTTACACAGAGAGACAGCGAGAGACAGCGCCAGACAGCGAGAGACAGCGAGAGACAGCGAGAGACAGCGAGAGACAGCGAGAGACAGCGAGAGACAGCGCCAGACAGTCAGCAAACGCAGGAGATGCCACCCGCCCGCCCGCCCGACCCTGCGCGTCTGAGTCGACCCCCTGCCAGGCAGCGCTGCGTGTTGTTGCGAGTCGCGGCGCTTCGCCTGAAAGTGAGACGAACGCTGGCTGATGATGAGGTGTGGGGGGCTGTCTCCGGCCCCCACAGCCCCCCCCCCCCACCCACCCCACCCACCCTCCACATTTCCCCACATTGCATAGCGCACCACGCCGGCCTTCATAGACGCTCAGTTAATTCACCCATTAAACATATTTTCTATTCGCATGTTAATTTACGTTTAAAATAAACCTTACTTGAAAAAAGCTAATATTAAGTTTTAGAGGATTCAGTGGGGGGAGGGGGGGTCACAAGACATCCGGACCACCACCAATATGTCCCCACCACCACGGACGGAGACATCTTTGGCATGCCGGGGAGTGCTGTCAACGTGGCCGGCTCGCGTGGCCGCGTTGTGCCACGAATGCTCCGCTTCGTTCCATCGCCGCGGCCCGCATCAGCGGCTCGTTGTGACTGTCCGCCTCAACGAACGCTCCCTTCTTGCCGTGTCCCTCCCTGTCACTCGCGCGTGGCCCCTTGAAACGAGTGCGGCGCGTGGCCAGTGTCTCAGCACCGGACACCGCGATGGGTGCCTGACGGTGCCGTCCACACCGCCACCTCGCGTGCAAATACCGCCCGTTTATCGGTGTCGCCGCCGAAGCACACTTTGCCCCGCAGGCCGAATACGACTGCCTGTGTCCGTGCGCGTACACGGGGCGCGGTGGGCCACTCGAGTTCGAAGCCCGCTCACGGCCACCAACGCCGGTGACAAATTGTCTGAACCCTGTCCCGAGCCTCCCCTAGGTCGACTCAGCCTCATAATGTGTATCTGGTGTGGGAAATTATCGCGACCGTGCGGCAGACACACGCGCGGCTGGACAACCCCTTGCGTGCCGTGCCGGCTTTGCATAGGTGCTCGCGAACAGCACTTGCCCCCCAAAATCAGTGAAGGTTACATGGGGGACCTTTGTCTTTGTAGGCGTACGGTACACGATGTACGGGGCACTTAAATGCGCACGTGCCTGTCGCTCAGCGTTGTGTTGCACGTGCGTATGTTTTGATTTGTATTAAGTGAGATCGCTTCAATGCGGTATATCCTCTCTTACCAGCGTCGCCTACCCCCCCCCCCCCCCCGGTGTACGACCACTCATTGTTGCTCTCCGTGACGATGCGAAGCTCCTAGTAGTTTGTATTTCTACTTTGAAAAAAAAATGGAATCGATCTCAGGTAAAATTCGCTAAAAAATTCGAGTGATATATTTTTCAGCCGTTAATGTGATTTTTGTTCGTTTGTTTGTTAAATCGCAATTTGAGCCGATTAAAAGCGATGGCTGTGTATTTGCAGTCGCTCGCAAATTGGGATCGGATGCGTGGCACTCCGTCGGATGATTAACGTGGCAGTACGTGCGGTCATTTTTTTTTAATCACGTGCCGAGTCTATTACAGGTGACAATAAGCAGGCATAATTAGTCGCTTGAAGGTGAATAATGCATTTCCGTAACTAATGCGATGTTACGCTTACCAAGGCGATGCTCGTGTTACTAGCATGATCTATTCACGTCGCTGTAGATGCTTTTCTCGTGTGTGTGTGTCAGTGTGTTCGCATGCACGGGTCGGCGGGAGGGAGCGGTGGCACAGCGGTTAGCGCACTGTGCTTCGACCCGCCTCTCACGACCAATAACAGTGACGAACATTTTGAACCGGTCCCGGGGCCTCTTTCGGGTCGACTCAGCCTTAAAAGTGAACTTGGGGAGACAAAGGCGGCCGCGGGTGATGCTGGCTACCCCCATCTCCCCCCCCCCCTCTCTCCCTCGTGTGCCGTGCCGGCTTTTTCATAGGCGCTCGCTAAAAGCACTTGCCCCCCAAACAGTCTGTTAGAGGCTTTACGGGGGATCTTTGTCTTTGTTTTGTGTGTACACGTGTCGTGAGCTGCGTCTGTGATGCGCGACGCGTCCGTACAACGTGACGTCTCGGAGTCGATGTGGCGTCCGCAGATCCCGAAAACAACAACAACAACAACGCGGTTTTACAATAGCGGGTATTATCTTTCGCGATTGTCCACCGACTCACACGTACTCTAAAGACCTGGTGCTGTCTTAATGCCGTTATTAACTCCGTGGGGGGGGGGGGGGGCAACTCCACGATCCGTTGAATACAAAGTTAAATTTACCATGAATTAATAATATCTTCGTAATAGTTTATATCGACTTCTCGCGAACCCACTGTTGGATGAAGGCCACTCCAATGATGTGTCAGTTAGTGGAGAGTAAAACTCTTATAATTTGTTTTTGTATTACTTCGCGGAGGTTGATTGACCATACTTCGTCACGCTGGTCAGTGGGAGTTGGTGGGAGGCCGGGTTGGGGTGGGGTATGACTGGTTATCACTCACAGCTGATGTTTGCCGTGGTGAAGAGTCGAATTCGGGGCACTGGGTTCAAAGCGCAGTGCGCTAACAACTGTGCCACCGCTTTAATATCCCTTTTAACTCCTGCATATATTTCCTATAGTTCATATATATTAAGGCGTACCTATGTTTTTTTTGCACGTGTTTCAATTGTACCACATTATGTTTGGGTTTCTTTTATCGCCCTTGCTATATTTTATCTTGAAAAGGAGA